ACTTTCCCTTGTTATATTTCATTCAATTATCTCCTGCCCGGTTATTTGTCAACACCGGTTGCAGAAATGCTTTGTGACAGTATTTTGTAGCGCTTAGCTCGTTATATTACTCTGCTTTTCTCCTGGTACAGATAACCATTTACAAAGACGATGAGTGCGTGTTAGCAAACAACTCCCATCGCGCTAAGTGGAAAGTCATTAGCCCCAGCGGTAATGAGGCCATGGTTCCCTCTGTGTGCTTTACAGTCCCTCCACCTAACAAAGAAGCAATAGATACGGCCAACAGGTAGGGACTAAACAAAAACACCCGTTTTCTCTTTGAATTCATTCATACGAACCTTGGCTTAAAATCATGTCTTAAGTTTCTTCCCTTTTCGTGTGTTGCTTTGGGGTAAAGTTGGACTCTGTGTGTTTCAGGATCGAGCAGCAGTTTCAGAACGTGCTGGCCCTGTGGCACGAGTCGCATGTGAACATGAAGAGCGTGGTGTCGTGGCATTACCTGACCAACGAAATTGAAGCCGTTCGGGCCGGCAACGTCGCCTCGGTAGGTGCTGCTTCTGCAGGGCCTGGGACATCATAGCTGTGCTTCCCAGAAATGCTGTTCAGCAGCAGCCTGGGGCCAGCTGGCAGTGGCCACGCTGGCTCCCTCTGTGTGATGTTGTGCCTTGAGCTGAGCAGCCCTTACACTGACGATTTGGGAAGGAGCAGAGATGATGCACCGTGAAAACTCCCTGTAGCATCACTGTGCTGATCCCTCATCTCCTGTGGTCAGCAGAGGGACAGGACCTCTCCAAAGCACTCGAGCAGTGACTAAATCTGAATTCTGTTCTTTAAGAGTCTGCCTTCCTCCATTTATATTGAATATACCTGGGGAGATTTGTTCATGAGGTTGAGGTTAACCTTCCTGAAAACCCCCTTGAGTTACTTATGGCTGCAACTTACTAAGAGTGGACCAAGTGTGAAGCAGTGTTTAGTCTCAAGCTGAAGAGAGCTGAACACTCATTCCTTCATAGTGCATTGTTTCATCATTATACGTGTCTGAATGTGTTAAATAGCTAATGAGGATCAAGTTGTCAGAAACTGACTTGTGATATGGACCAAAATCCAGTTCTCTCTGGCTGAACAGATCTATGAGATCACTGACCAACGTTAGATGTACAGCGTAACACTAATGGAATAGTTTACTATACAACACCGGTGTGTATCTGTCCGCAAACCGTTGCAGTAATATTTGTAATAGGCAAAATGACATTTTCACTCCTGATTTCCCATGTTGCTGTTGAAAGGAAGGAATCTCAGGTAATTCTGGGAGAGTCCCTCCCTGTGTGACTCCTGCTGGCTCCGTGTTTGCTGCTATGTGGCATCAGATGGGTAACTGGGATTGTCTTAGCACAGCCTTTTGAGACGGAAAAGGGTTTTACAGTGGGTGTAGGCTGTGAGCTGCTACACTGACACCTCTCAAGTGCATCCAGCCCAGGAACAGCGAGCTTCAGCAACCTCAGCTCCATCTTCTCCATCCTAGACATCGGGCACTATTGCTTTTGGGTAAAAAGCCTTCCAGGGGATGCATCACTGCTGATGTGCCTCGGGTTTCCGATGTGTTGCAGATAAAGACGATGCTGCCGGGTGAGCATCAGCAGGTCCTGAGCAATTTGCAGTCCCGCTTCGACGACTTTGTGGAGGACAGCCAGGAGTCCAAAATCTTCACAAGCTCCGACACAGCCCAGCTGGAAAGGGAAGTCAGTGTTTGCAAGCAATACTACCAGGAGCTGCTGAAATCTGCAGAAAGAGGTAAAACCTTGCTGAGAGAAGTAGAGAGGTGCCCTCAGGAGTGATGTGGTAGTTCCTGCTAAACTTACTTGTCTGATTACAAGCTCCAGTGAATTTCATCACGTTGATGTTAAGGCCTCAGTTCTTCTGGACGGATACTCAGCATCTCGCCTAGTTTAGGTGATCCTGCTCTGGGGGGTTGGACTGGATGATCTTTCGAGGTCCTTTCCAACTCCTGAGATTCTGTGATTCTGTGGTTTCCTCAGTTCTTCTAAACACATACTCATCATTTCCACAGTGTACACAATTACTTTGTATAGGAACTCATTTATTTAACTTTGTGTGTAGTAAGCTATGCAAAAATATCGATGTGTTACTTAATATACGGAGCACAAAGAATTGTACACCAAGAATTTATTCTGTGTAGCTCAAGCTTTCCCTGTTTTTGAACGTTGGAATTTCAACTTGATCACTTCATTTAGTTCCTAACAGAATTGAACCATTTTTCACACTGTTTAAGGCCAGAAAAGTGTCCTAGATACTCCCCTAGCTCCACAGACTGCCCAGGTACTGCTCCATTAGCTCTGATTTTAAACACAGTAAGAACAGAAAGCTGTCATGGTTTAGCCACATCATCTTAGTATCTGCTCTGATTTCCTGTGGGGTAGCTAATGACTTAAATAAATAGAGTGGCGCAAAGCTGATTGCTGCATTAGCATCGTTCACTGTACCTAAGGAGAGATGTGAGTCTGAAAGGGGGGATTTGAAAGAAGAAAGCCCTGGGGATTTTCTGTAGTGCTGTGTCTGAGTGAAGGGCTCAGTCGCCGAGGTCAGCAGTGTCTGCGTGAGGGGATGCCTGGGATGGATGGTCAGACATGGATGCTCATTTTACACGTGTGAGGAGGTGGTCTAACAATAGCTAAAATTTAAGGGTTCCTAAAATGTTGTGTCTTCCTGCAGAGGAGCAGGAGGAGTCCATCTACAACCTGTACATCTCCGAAGTCAGGAACATCAGGCTGCAGCTGGAGAGCTGCGAGGAGCGGCTGATACGGCAGATCCGCACCCCGATGGAGAG